TATATATATATATATATATATATATTAATATATAACGATATTATATATAGTATATATAATATCGTTATCTGAAAATAGAACTCTGAAAAGAATATGCATCGATGATTGACAGTGAGAAAATTACTTCAGGATTCATTGCCTGGGAAGTCTTTAATTTAAGTACATCGGATAAATGAATAGAATTATTTTCCCCCAGAATTGTTTTCAGAGATTTTAATCTATTTCTCCTTTTATTACTCTTTATTTCTTATAAAAGAATAGGTAGACTTTCTTGTAGATATATTGCATAAATTAATATTGGAATCGTGTAAGAAAATATATATTAAGATTTTTCAATCTTGAAATAAAATGAAATTTTATTGCTTTTTAAGAGCATATACGTTATTCATGCAAATGCATAGCATGCATTTATATTTTATGTATGTTCTTTTATTCACGCCGCCTTTATCTTGCAAGAAAACTCATATAAATATTACAAAACATTATTGTAAAATTATATGTAAGAATTTAGAATTTTAAAAGCGGTCTAAAATAAAAATTGAAATAATTTTTCTGATTGATCTAATCTAATTGATCAAATTAATAAAAGCCAGAAAAAAGCGATTTTGATGGGAATTCTGAGATACGTAAGTGAGGAAAAACCCACTTATATTAGGTCATATATACCTTATTTCCCCGAAAGGGGAATACCCTTGGTTTCTTGAATGTCAGCTTAAAGTACGATCAGAAATATTTTTCCTTAGGAAACTGGGATTTTCCTTACTTATGGTTTCTACGGAATATTAAATGCGTTTATCACTAAAATGTTATAATTTAATATTTCTTTATTTTTAATTATAATACATAAAACGATATCTCTCGATGATGATTAAAACTGTACGTTATTGAAAATGTAATGGCGCTATAAAAATACAATAAAATTAATAGTTAAATACTGCATTAATACTTGCGAGAAATACATATTTTATAAATATATTTCTACAAAGTTGAAGCTATAGAATATCTATAAATAGGAGGAAACGGGCTAATTGAGAGCCAGGCACAGTAATCCAATGCAAATTCTTTTTTCTTCGAAACGATTTATTGATTATTGATTTATACAATATGCCCATAAAGCTTAATACATAAAACGATATCGATTCTCTCGATGATGATTAAAACTGTACGTTATTAAAAATGTAATGGCGCTATAAAAATACAATAAAATTAATAGTTAAACACTGCATTAATACTTGCGAGAAATACATATTTTATAAATATATTTCTACAAAGTTGAAGCTATAGAATATCTATAAATAGGAGGAAACGGGCTAATTGAGAGCCAGGCACAGTAATCCAATGCAAATTCTTTTTTCTTCGAAACGATTTATTGATTATTGATTTATACAATATGCCCATAAAGCTCTCTTTC